AGCTCGAATACTCTCACCAGCAAGTCGATAGGCTGGTGTATTATCAGTAATTGCTATTGGTGATAAAATAGGTCCATGTAAATTATCAACAGATTCATTAAATAATAATAAATGCCATGCCTAATAATGACAAAAATATATTACAAAAGGTAAATAAGAAATTTTACAAAAATTTTACCATAGCGCCAAATGTCGAGAAATAAGCAACATAAACTGCTGGCACATTCAATGGACCTATATTTCTTCTATTCATGAATTGTAATAAATCACCGTTTTGTGATATAATACAACCACAATCATAATGAACACCGTGTGCTTGAATGATATGTCGAGAAGTTGATCCAAATCCTAATTATAATTTAAGGATTGATAATGAAATAAAAATATTAAAATTAACTAAATCCTTAGATGTAAAGATATATAACGAGATAGTAACTCGTATTCCATCAAATTCATTATGAAATTCAACGAGTTTTTAGATCTATCTAACTGAATCAAATAAATTGGATGCAAGAAAAATGAATGAACAACTAATACTATGTTGAATTCTATCGATTTTCATAATTATTTTCTTGAATAAAGAATTTGATTGATAAAAATTATAAAAAATAATGTTTCTATTATTTTCTTACATTTTTTTTGTTTGTGTTTCAGACACAAATCATTAGTATACATTCCCAAGTATCAATTCGCTTTTGGACCGGGCATGTGTGCAAACGATAGATCTCAGTGAGTTATTACATGCCCTAGAATGGTTTGGTTTTTCAGCCTTCTGTTGTCGAGTTATAGGCCTTTTACTTGATTTTGGTTTATGGGCATAAAATTCTTCTGAGTACCTGAATGTTTGAGCCAGAACGAATGCATTCTCATCGAGATATTCGCATTTTACAGAAATGCCTGTTTTCAGTTGGGTTTCAAAATACGGACATTTTCATGACCAACTGATATCTTGATAACGGTACGTTCGTTCTGGCTCAAGCTTTCGAAAGTTTCTAGTGCTTATAGGACCTATCTATGGACAAAACTTCAGTTCGAAATTCAATCATTGAGGTACTCAGAAGAATCCTATGCCCATAAACCAAAATCGAGTAAAAGGCCTATAACTCGACAACAGAAGGCTGAAAAACCAAACCATTCTAG